TCCAACACCCCCCCCGCCGCTGGCCAAGGCTGAGCCCATCAGTGACGGTGGTAGCACTTCTGGGGTAACATATTTAAGACGGACAAAGACCTGTTGTGGAACAACTACAGCCAGAGAGAGAAGTGAGAATATGTGAGAGGAATGGCCCTGCAGACACCAAGGTCTGTGAAGGAGGGGCAGGAGGTGCACCAGGCACTGGAGATTCCCCTCAGCCCCTGGTGCAGCCCATGGTGGGGCAGGCTGTCCCCCTGCAGCCCATGGAGGAGAAGATCTCCACCCGCAGCCCAGGGAGGACTCCACACCAGAGTACGTTGATGTCTGAAGGAGGCTGTGACCCCATGGGAAGCCTGTGCTGGAGCAGGCTCCTGGCAGGACCTGTGGCCCCGTGGGGAGAGGAACCCAGGCTGGAGCAGGTTTGCAGGCAGGGCTGGTGACCCCCCGGGGGACCCACGCTGGAGCAGTCTGCTCCTGAAGGACTGCGCCCTGTGGGAAGGATGGACCCACACTGGAGCAGTTTGTGAAGAACTGCAGCCCATGGGAAGGACCCACATTACAAAAGTTCATGGAGGACTGTCTGCTGTGGGAGGGAGCCCACACTGGAGCAGGGGCAGAGTGTGAGGAGGAAGGAGCAGCAGAGACAATGTGTGATGGACTGACTGCAACCCCCATTCCCCGTCCCCTGTGCCTCTTAGGGGGAGGAGGTAGAGAATTTGGGAGTGAAGTTAAGCACCGGAAGAAGGGAGGGGTGGGAAGAAGGTGTTCCGAGTTTTGGTTTTATTTCTCATTACCTTACTCTGACTTTCAATTGGTAATAAATTAAATTAATTTCCCCAAGCTGAGTCTGTTTTGCCCGTGATGGTAGTTGGTGAGTGACTTTCCTGTCCTTATCTCGATCCACGAGCCTTTCATCACATTTTTTCTCCCCTGTCCAGCTGAGGAGGGAGGCATGATAGAGCAGCTTGATGGGCACCTGGCATCCAGCCAAGGCCAACCCACCACACCCAGGTTTCAGATTTAGTAAATGTGACTGTAATGCACAGGCATACATTCTCTTCCTTTTATTACAGAGCTTATAGAAATGTCAGTGATACAGCAAAATCCAGCTGAGGTCGGTAAAGAAAGTGCTAATTTTTAGTCATATAAGATAAAGAATAGGCTGTTCTACTGACATGCCAATTATCCAGTAATTCCGTTAATAGTTATGAAAGATTACGTCTAAGGCTATGGGCCAAATCCTTTTTTCCACTCCACAGGACTTGAGTTAAATACCAATATCTGACCTTTTTCCTGTGTGGAGTAGTGGTTCTTGCTTAGCAGACAAATCACCATTTGGTAATTGCTACACTCAAGACTCTGTAAAATGTGATGAAAGCATCATTAAAATTTCATATTAGGTCTAACATGCATTTTACATATTTTATGGCATTTTACATATTTTCTTCCATTTCACTTGGAGACGAGTCCAAGCTGAAACTGCTTAGTGCCTGAGCTTTGCAAATGCAGTCTCCTAATGTGGGAGCTATGTTTGGTTCTCAAACTATTTTTACCCTTATTTTTGGTACCGAGGGTCAAAGCATGCTTCTACTTTAATTTTGGTAATCTGGAATGCCTTGCTTCCTGGGAAACCCTCAAAAAGAAATCTCTCTGCCCAAGGAGCTAGTGTAGAACAGTCTCTATCCCCCTCTATTTTTCTGCCCGAAAGTCCCAAGAATATTCATAGGGAGAGGGAAGACAATGGTGGAATTATTCTCTGCTGCCAAGGTTGTTAACGTTTGCAGGTAGCGCAGCTGAAGACCTGCCGGAGACTCAGCCAGCACCATGGAGGCCTGCTTGAGGGCTTTAGAAGCATTCATTTCTCCCTCTGCTGCCACAATCTGCAAAGTAAGAGAAGTGGAAACCATAATGTAGCGCTGCCCATAGCAACGAAAATCCACCTTTACAATGAGGAGAAAACACAAGCACTTGGATGCTTGGGACAAGGATATGGGAGCTTGGAGGTAGATATTGTTGTGGATCTCACCTTAGCTCTTGCCTCTCGAGCAGCTTCTGCTTCAGCTGCCATTGCCCTTTGCATGGCCACGGGAATCCTGACATCTTTGATCTCCACTCGTGCCAGTTTGATTCCCCACTCCTCTGTGGCACGGTCGAGGATAGCCTTAGGGACAAACACACAAGCCATGACGAAGAGCACAGTGATGGCAGAGAGAAAACCACGCCTTGTATTCTGCCTCTTGGACAGAAGGAAAGGCAGCATGTCAACCTGCACAACAGAAAGACGGAGCCCTCCAGGGGCACTAACATCCAACGTGGTATGTGTACGGCAGGTACTGCAAACTTACGAAACTCTTGCTGATCAACACCGGTGTCTGAGACAGGGTGTTTCCTGTATGGCTTCTCTACTGTCTCCTAAACTATGATCTCCATCCTTTCTTTAGGTCGCCACTCATCAAACTTCTCCCTTTCATGAAGTAATGCTACTGCAGCTTCCTAGAACAGCACGATGCTGTAAAAGCACGCTATGGGCGAGTGGCACAGCACAGCCCTGCAGCACTGGCACGATCTTCCGAGCTCAGGCTCCTGGGCGCTGCTGCAACCCACGGCCACCACCGTGCCCCGCTCTGCCCATGGCTGCTGTCCTGGCTGGAGAGGGGTACACTCTCTCTTTCATATGACTATGCCTCTCCCCTGACTGAAAAGAGTAGATTAGGTTTTGGCTTTCTTCTCCGCTGCCTTCTTGGCTGCCAAATTAAATAAATAATAATTAAAAAAAGATAGCATTTTAAAGTATAAAACAACTCAGTTCTGTACTCTTAGTCATTATGGCAGGAGATACAAGCCCTGCCTTGATTAAACCTCAGTCAAGGGTCTGCTCAAGATAGAGCTTCCCACAAGCAGCAGACTTCTTTCTTACCACTTGCAGCAGCCTCTGTACAAAGACTAAACTCTTTTATTCAACTCATTGGGTAATTTCAGAATCTTCATTGCTTTTTGGTAGGAAATAACTCTCTACAAAAACCTGGAGAAATACTTTAGAATAACTCTTTATGACTCTAAGCAATGAGATGTATAATTGAAAAAAAACATAAAGGAAAAATTTGCTATCACAGTTGAAGAAAGAAAGTGATGTATTCTAATTTACTACTCCCCAGAACAAATCTCCATGCTTGTCAGTGAATTCTGAGTGCCAGATTTACCTGAATACTGTGTGCAATCTCCTCACGACCTGCCAGGAGCTGAGCCAAACTCTGTGTTCCCAG